TACCCTTCTTTCTTTCCTTCTTTCTCTCCTTCCCCCTTCTTTCCCTCTTTCTTTCTCTTTCTCTCCCTCCTTTTCTCCTTCCTTCTCCACCCTTCTTTCTTTCCTTATTTCTCTCCTTCCCTCCTTCTTTGCCTCCATCTCTCCCTCCTTCTCTCTTTCCTTCCTTCTTTTCCCCTTTCTGTGTATGTGTTTAGTGTGTGTATATACATAGATGTGTGTGTTTGTGTGTATATATGTGTGTGTGTGGTTTTGCGCATGCATTGGAATGTATTTTTTGGGGGGAGGTTGCTTTTTAAGTCTTTTCCACTGCGTTTTTATGAGTGATGGTCACTCGTTGGCCTGACAGATGTATTTTGTCCAAATTTGGTGTCAATTCGTTCAGTGGTTTTTGAGTTATGTTAATCCCACAAACGAACATTACGTTTTTATTTATATAGAATTTTCAAATTATAATCCGGCCCTCCAACAGTTTGAGAGACTGTGACACGGTCCTTTGTTTAAAAAGTTTGAGGACCCCTGGTCTAGTGGAACCAGCTACCGAAGTTTCTCCTGACTGTGGAACTACAAAGTTCACGGTCATGATTCCAATAACCTTTTGATGATCCATAAGCCTAGTGGATGGATTTTTGTGCTAATTGACACCACTATGATTGTTCTTTTTTGGTTAACTATTGCAAAGTTCAAATTTGAGGCATGTCATGCCTTGTGTCGTGATTATGTTCATACAAGGGTTGAATGAAAAGTAATGCCTCCACCTTCGTAACTCCTCAACAGATGGCAGTACTTGGGAAGTCTGACTCAGCCACGGTAGTCCATGCTCTGGTTACATCCTGTATAGACTACTGCAATGCTCTCTACATGGGGTTGCCTTTGAAGACTGTCTAGAAGCTTCAAATGGTCCAACGCTCGGCAGTCAAGTTACTAACAGGAGCGGCACTCAGGGAGCATACAACTCCTCAGTTGCGCCAGCTCCACTGGTGTTGACCTATAAATCCCTAAACCAGTGTTTCTCAATCTTCCTAATGCCGCGACCCCTTAATACAGTTCCTCATGTTGTGGTGACCCCCAAACATAACATTCTTTTGCTAATTCATAACTGTAATTTTGCTCCTGTTATGATACATAATTTGGGAGTTGTAGTTGTTGGGATTTATGGTTCACATACAATCAAAGAGTATTCTGAACTCCACCAACGATGGAATTGAACCAAACTTGGCACACAGAATGCCCACGACCAACAGAAAACACTGGAAGGGTTTGGTGGGCATTGACCTTCAGTTTGGGAGTTGTAGTTCACCTACAGAGAGCACTATGGACTCAAACAGTGATGGATCTGGACCAAACTTGGCACGAATACTCAGTATGCTAAATGTGAACGCTGGTGGGGTGTGGGGAAAATAGGCCTTGACATTTGGGAGTTGTAGTTGCTGGGATTTATAGTTCACCTACAATAAAAAAAAATTCTGAACCCCACCAATGATAGAATTGGGCCAAACCTCCCACACAGAACCCTCATGACCAACAAAAATACTGTGTTTTCTGATGGTCTTTGGTGACCCCTCTGGCACCTCCTGGCGACCCCTCCAGGGGTCCCGACCCCCAGGTTGAGAAACACTGCCCTAAACGGTTCCAGCACAATTTACCTGACCGAACGGATTCTCCCCTATGAACCATCAAGGTTGTTAAGATCCTTAGCCTATAAAGCCCTAAACCAGGGGTCCTCAAACTAAGGCCCGTGGGCCGAATACGGCCCTCCAAGGTCATTTACCCGGCCCTTGCTCAGGGTCAACCTAAGTCTGAAATGACTTGAAAGCACACAACAACAACAGTAATCCTATCTCATCAGCCAAAAGCAGGTCCACACTTCCCAATGAAATACTAATAAGTTTATATTTGTTAAAATTGTTCTTCATTTTAATTATTGTATTGTTTTGAAGTGTGATTTTTTTGTACTACAAATAAGATATGTGCAGTGTGTATAGGAATTCATTCATGTTTTTTTCAAATTATAATCCGGTCCTCCAACAGTTTGAAGGTCTGTGACCTGGCCCTCTGTTTAAAAAGTTTGAGGACCCCTGCCCTAAACGGTTCTGGCCCAACTTACCTGTCCAAACGCATCTCCTCCTATGAACCAGCTAGGATGTTAAGATTGTCTGGGGAGGCCCTGCTCTCGGTCCTGCCTGCATCACAAGTACGGTTGGCAGGGACGAGAGACAGGGCCTTCTCAGTGGTGGCCCCTCAGCTGTGGAACGCACTTCCCACAGAAATTAGATCGGCCCCCTCCCTGTTGACATTTCGGAGGAAAGCGAAGACCTGGTTGTTTGAGCAGGCATTTGAATAGGCAGTGTAACTATTACAGAAATATGGAACATTTGGATGATGCGACTGGATCTTGATTTTAACTATGAGACGCTAATGAGATGTTATGTTGTTTATTGATTGTTATAATGTTATTCTTTTAACTTGTTTTTAATTATTGTTTCATGTTTAAGTATTGTATTTGCTCTGTTAACCGCTCTGAGTCACCCTGAGGGCTGAGAAGTGTGGTATACAAATATAGTAAATAAATAAATAATAAATATGTGGCAGGTACTGGCTTGTTCAGTAGACTCTCCTCTACAGTTCCATTTTGGCGGTAAGACTTAGCATTGAACAGTTGTCCAAAGCTCTAGGTGCTCTTACTGCCTATTACAGGGAAAACCAGCTGATCCCCAACCCATCTAAAACACAGACATGTGCCTTTCATCTCAAGAACAGACAAGCATCCTGAGCTCTGAGAATTATTACCTGGGAAGGAATCCCACTGGAGCATTGCAGCGCACTCAAATACCTGGGAGTCACTCTGGACCGTGCTCTGACCTACAAGAAGCACTGCCTGAACATCAAGCAAAAAGTGGGTGCTAGAAACAATATCATACGAAAGCTGACTGGCACAACCTGGGGATCACAACCAGACATAGTGAAGACATCTGCCCTTGCGCTGTGCTACTCTGCTGCTGAGTACGCATGCCCAGTGTGGAACGCATCTCACCACACTAAAACAGTGGATGTGGCTCTTAATGAGACATGCCGCATTATCACAGGGTGTCTGCGCCCTACACCACTGGAGAAATTACACTGCTTAGCCGGTATTGCACCACCTGACATCCGCCGGGAAGTAGCAGCCAATAGTGAAAGGACCAAGGCAGAGACATCTCCAGCTCATCCCCTGTTTGGGTATCAGCCAGCACGCCAACGACTTAAATCTAGACATAGTTTTCTAAGATCTACAGAGACACTCGCTGGAACACCTCAGCAAGCGAGAGTCCAAAAGTGGCAGGCTCAAACCCAGAACCTCAACCAATGGCTGATACCAAATGAGAGACTCCCCCCTGGGCACACAGAAACTGGGCGACTTGGAAGGCGCTGAACAGACTGCGCTCTGGCACCACGAGATGCAGAGCCAACCTCAAGAAATGGGGCCACAAAGTGGAATCCTTGACATGCGAGTGTGAAGAAGAGCAAACCACTGACCACCTGCTGCAATGCAACCTGAGCCCTGCCACATGCACAAGGGAGGACCTTCTTGCAGCAACACCAGAAGCACTCCAAGTGGCCAGCTAGTGGTCAAAGGACATTTAACCAACTACCAAACTCACAAATGTTGTATTTTATCTGTTTGTTTGCTTTGTTCTGTTAGAAATGTAATATAATAGACTGGTTAATCTGACACGACAAATAAATAAATAAAGTTGTGTTGTTAAACTGCAAAGTATGGAACCCTGTGCAGATGGTCGGTCAATGCAACTTAAGTAACGTGCAGTCATTGAAATCTTGACAGCAGAAGGTGTCACCTCAACATCTTTAAACTTACTTGCCCAACGACGCACAGTACTCACATCAACACAATCACCATACACAGCTTGCATTCTCTGATGAATCTCCTTTGCGGTGACACCTTCTACTGTCAAGAAATCAATGACTGCACGTTGCTTAAGTTGAATTGACTGACCATCTGCGTAGGGTTCCATACTTCGCACTTAAACAATTGAACAATTGTTCAATGCTAAGGCTTCTTGACAAAATGGAACTGTAGAGGAGAGTATACTGAACAAGCCAGTACCTGCTGCATACCAGTACTGCCGTCTGTTGAGGAGATACGAAGGGGGAGGCATTCCTTTTCATTCAACTCTCGCATTATTATCAGAATAATCTGAACACAATACATTCAGATTGTGACCGATTGCGGTAGTGCGATGGGTTGAACCCTCGTGCTGCTGAACTGCTGACCTGAAGGTTGGCTGGTTGAATCCGTGGGACAGGGGTGAGCTCCTGCTGTTAGCCCTAGCTACTGCCAACTTAGCAGTTTGAAAACATGCAAATGTGAGTAGATCAATAGGTACTGCTTCGGCGGGGGAAAAAAGATGCTCCAAGCAGTCATGCTGGCCATAAGACCAGGAGGTGTCTATGGACAACACAAACTCCTCTGCTTGGAAATGGAGAAAGAGCCGAAGATGATCATTGCTTCCAGAGCTGGAAATGAAAGGAGAAGCCTTTGTCTCTGTCTGTGTGTTTGTGCCTCATTGTATGTCATTGTAATAAGGCAATGAATGTTTGCCCGTGTCTGCTTATATACTGTAATCCCCTCTGAGGTCACTCAGGGAGAAGGGCGGAATATTTTTATTTATTTTATTTATTTATATTCTGCCCTTCTCACCTTGCAGGGGACTCAGGGCAGATTACAATGTGCATTTACATGGCAAACATTCAATGTTATAGACACACAACATATATAGACAGACACTCAGAGACTATTTAACATTCTCGCTTTTTCATGAGGGTATTCTGGCCACCAGGGGAGCTGTCACTTCACCATCCATTTGTGACACTGATGAGGTACTTCCTCATTCTTTGCATGCTTGCTGGAGATTTTTATGGCGTCGTAAATTAGCCTCCCCGCTTAAGCGGTATCTAAACTTCCTACTTGACAGATGCAACTGTCTTTCAGGTTCCAAGCTACACAATTGATCAGAAGCTCACTCTGACCCGACCTGGCTTCGAACTCATGACCTTTTGGTCAGTACTGATCTTAATGCAGCTGATTTCCAGCCAGCTGCGCCACAGTCCTGGTGCTATAGAACTAAATTATTATTTTGTTGTCAAAGGCTTTCATGGCCGGAATCACTGGGTTGTTATAGGTTTTTTCGGGCTATATGGCCATGGTCTAGAGGCATTCTCTCCTGACGTTTCGCCTGCATCTATGGCAAGCATCCTCAGAGGTAGCGAGGTCTGTTGGAACTAGGCAAAAGGGTTTATATATCTGTGGAATGACCAGGGTGAGACAAGGACTATTGTCTGTTGGAGCTAGGTGTGAATGTTTCAACTGACCACCTTAATTAGCATACAATGGCCTGACTGTGCCTGGGGAAACTTTTGTTGAGAGGTAATTAGATGTCCCTGCCTACTCCCTCTCTGTTGTTGTGCTGTTGCAATTTCAGAGTTTTTTAATACTGGTAGCAAGATTTTGTTCATCTTCATGGTTTCTCCTTTCTGTTGAAATTGTCCACATGCTTGTGTATTTCAATTGCTTCTCTGTGTAGTCTGACATGGTGGTTGTGAGTGTGGGCCAGGCCATTGTATGCTAATCAAAGTGGTCAGTTGAAACATTCACACCTAGCTCCAGCAGACAAGAGTCCTTTGTCCCACCCTGGTCATTCCACAGATATATAAAGCCTTTTTCCTAGTTCCAACAGACCTCACTACCTCTGAGGATGCTTGCCATAGATGCAGGCGAAACGTCAGGAGAGAATGCCTCTAGACCAGGGGTCCTCAAACTAAGGCCTGGGGGCCAAATACGGCCCTCCAAGTTCATTTACTCGGCCCTCGCTCAGGGTCAATCTATGTCTGACCATGTTCCTGAAGCATTCTCTTCTGACATTTCACCCACATTTACGGCAGGCATCCTCAGAGGTTGTGAAACCTCACAACCTCTGAGGATGCCTAACATAGATGTGGGTAAAGCGTCAGAAGAGAATGCTTCTGGAGCATGGCCATACACCCCAAAAAACTCACAGTAACCCCGTTATTATTATTATTATTATTATTATTATTATTATTATTATTACCTTATGGTTATTTTCTTAGGTAGAATATATTGATATAATTTCAATGTCTATTCTTATAAAATCCACATGATAAAAGTTTGTGGTTTTATCAGTTCCACATCTCTTCATTATACAGGGTTAGTCAAAATGAATAGGCCAATAAGAAAATTAATTTTAGACGAATGTATGTTTACTGTAACCAAACCACAGCTACGTAGCGACAGATAAACTATCAAAGTTTTTTTTGAGCAACACACATGTACGTTAATGCCGCTAGGCGTCGCTAGGGGTCGCTGTTTTCAAAATGGCGGATTCAAGCAAAGAGAAGGCGTTTTGTGTGATGACATTTGCTAAAACAATGTCAGTAATTACGGTCCAGCGAGAATTTCGAGCCAAGTATGGCAAGGAACCACCTCATCGACATTCCATTGCGAGGTGGGTAAAGCAATTTGAGGAGACGGGCTGCTTATGCAAGGGTAAAACCACAGGACGACCACGTGTCTCCGAAGACACAGCTGCATTCGATGCCATTACGTCGGATGTGCTGCAACGGATGTGGAATGAACTGGACTATCGCTTGGACATCTGCCGTGTCACACGGGGCGCCCATATCGAACATCTCTGAAGGTGAGACAAAACTTTGATAATTTATCTGTCGATACGTAGCTGTAGTTTGGTTACAATAAACATACATTCGTCTAAAATTAATTTTCCTATTGGCCTATTCATTTTGACTAACCCTGTATATTGGATAAGGTTTTGAGAAATCAGTTGCAAAGCTCTGCCAGCAAGGATGTCAAAAGGGCATTCTCTATTTGTTTGGCTTTGCAAACAAGGGACAGCTTGCCAAAACTCTGTGCTTGACAGATTACATAGGCAAATTCTTATTTAAACAGCATTCACCAATAGCCTCTGTCTATTTCTTGCAAAACGACCTAAAATCTTATGAAAACAAAAGGAAATAAAGACGTAACGATAAGAGTACAGTGCAAATAACTTTGCTGCAGGTGAGGCAGGAAAATGGCATTTCAGCGAGCCAGAACAACCAGATTTACCGTAAAGACAGCTTGAAGGTTGTTGAGTTTTTCAATTTCCTTTGGCATTCCATTACTTCCCCAACGAATCAGGTAGTTTTCACTACAAAACAACAAGACAGTGTTACTGTTATATGTATCTGGAAGTTCTGGCATTTCTCAGAACGAACATCCAGAAATAGTTTTGCCTTAGAGCAGTGTTTCTCCACCTTCCTAATGCCGTGACCTCTTAATCCAATTCCTCATTTTTGTGGTGACCCCCAACCATAACATTATTTTCGTTGCTACTTCATAACTGTCATTTTGCTACTGTTATGAATCATAATGTAAATATCTGGTATGCAGGATGGATTTTCATTCCCTGAACTTAATTTGGCACCAATACCTGCTACATGAGGTCATGAAGAGTCGGAGACGACTGAACGAATGAACAACAACCTGCTACGGCCACATTGGAATACTGATGGGGTTGGGGAGATTGGTTTTATCATTTGAGAGTTGTAGTTGCTGGGATTTATAGTTTACCTACAATTAAAGAGGATTCTGGAGTCCACCAATGATGGAATTGAACCAAACTTGACACAAGATAGTAATAATAATAATAATAATAATAATAATAATAATAAGGGACTTGGGCCGGCTTACATGGGGCCAAGCTCAGTAACACAGAGTTAAAACATAGCATATCAAATATAAAAGAACATAAAAACAAAATTATTTATATAAATAAAAATGTAATGTTCGTTTGTGGGATTAACAAAACTCAAAAACCACTGGACAAATTGACACCAAATTTGGACACAAGACACCGAACAACCCAGTGCATGGCCTTCACTCAAAAAAATGATTTTGTCATTTGGGAGTTGTAGTTGGTGGGATTTATAGTTCACCTACAATCAAAGAGAATTCTGAACTCCAGCAACAATAGAATTGGACCAAAATTGGCACACAGTTTTCCCATGAACAACAGAAAATACTGGAAGGGTTTGGTGGGCAGTGACTTTTGGTTTTGGAGTTGTAGTTCACCTACATCCAGAGATCACTGTGGACTCAAACAATGATGGATCTGGACCAAACTCTACATGAATGTTCAATATGCCCAAATGTGAACACTGGTAGAGTTTGGGGAAAATATAATCTTGACATTTGGGAGTTGTAGTTGCTGGGATTTATAGTTCACCTACAATCACAGAGCATTCTGAACCCCACCAATGATAGTGAGATCATCCAGAGAGGCTCTGCTCTTGGTCCCGCCTTCGTCACAGGTACGTTTGGCGGGGACGAGAGACAGGGCCTTCTCAGTAGTGCCCCCCCCCCCCCCCCCCCCCCCCGGCTATGGAACGCCTTCCCTAGAGAGACCAGATCTGCTCCTTCCCTTTTAACATTTCAGAAGCAAGTCAAAACATGGCTGTTTGAGCAAGCGTTCACAAACACAGAGTAACGGATATCGATAAATGATATAGGAATTTGATGATTGACGATGAAATTGGACAATGCTTGACAATAAGGAGACGCCAATGATGTTATTTGTATTGCTGTTGTGGTTTATGTAATTGTAATGTTTTTAATTGTGTTGTGATACTATGTATACTGTTTTGTTGGAAACCGCCTTGAGTCGCCGATATGGCTGAGAAAGGCGGTATACAAATATAGTAAATAATAATAATAATAATAATAATAATAATAATAATAGGGCCAAACCTCCCACACAGAACCCCCATGTGGGCCACAGTAACGCGTGGCAGGGGATGGTTAGTACCTATAATAAAACAATAAGACAACCATCATAAGCAATCTCACTGTGGGAGGCGGGCTGGAGTGCAAACAGGTTTTTTTAAAAGGCTAATCAGAAAAGTGCATAGATTATGTCACAATATAAGGATAGAGCAGATCATAACAGGGACATTATGACTTTCGAAAATTCCCATGACCAACAGAAAACCCTGGAAGGGTTTGGTAGGCATTGACCTTGAGTTTTGGAGTTGTAGTTCACCTACCTCCAGAGAGCACTGTGGACTCAAACAAAGAAGGATCTAGACTAAACTTGGCACAAATACTCAATATGCCCAAATGTGAACACCGGTGGAGTTTGGGGGAAAAAAGACCTTGACATTTGGGAGATGTCAGTGCTGGGATTTATAGTTTACCTACAATCAAAGAGCATTCAGAACTCCACCAATGATGGAACTGGGCCAAATTTCCCACACAGAACTCCCATGACTAACAGAAAACCCTGTAAGGGTTTGGTGGGCATTGACCTTGAGTTTTGGAGTTGTAGTTCACCTACGTCCAGAGAGCACTGTGGACTCAAACAGTGAAGGATCTGGACCAAACTTGGCACAAATACTCAATATGTCCAAATGGGAACACTGGTGGAGTTTGGGGAAAATAGACCTTGACATTTGGGAGCTGTAGTTGCTGTGATTTATAGTTCACCTACAATCAAAGAGCATTCTGAATCCCACGGACAATAGATTTGGGTCAAACTTCCCACACAAAACCCTCATGCAATGAAGGGACTTGCTGTTAGGAATTGTGGGAGATGAAGTCCAAAACACCTGGTGGACCCAAGTTTGCACATACATGCTTTAGAGAATCTGGGACATGTCTGCTATGCCTTGAGACTCGAATAGACCTTTTGGTTTACTTCTCACTTGATGATTCTACTATAATATTGCTCTCAAAACATGTAATGATGCTCGATGCACTCCCATGTATATCATAGCCTAAATCCCAAGCAATAGACTCCCAAGTTCCTTGATATCAAAAATGTCTGTAGACAAACTTGGCATCATACTCTTCTTTCTCTTTTCTTTGCATGTAAGCTGAAACGAAAAGGTTCCCAACGCAGCGGTGTGCAACAAAGGATGGCTTTCCATTTCCTCCAATTGCAGGAAACCCTAGTTTGAATATCTAGGTTGCTATTTCCTATATTTTTACGAATCAGGAAACTGTGGTTGGCTAGCAGATACCTCTAGTCTCCTTGACTTGCATGTGGAAAGAAAAAAAAAGAGGAAAGGATGCGTGAGACCAAAATCTTGCACCTCTTCTTTGTCTCTCTTCCACACATGCTTTACAAGGAAAACCAAGTCAAGCTGAACCCTCTCTTTGCAGATTGTAAGACATCTTTTTCCAAATCATCATCATCATCATCATCATCATCATCATCATCATATTTAATTACTTATTAATCGTCCTCTATCCGAGAATGCTCTAGGCGATTTACAGCTAAATTGTAAAAGATAAAATACATACATACAGAAATTAAAAATCAACAGAGATCGAATGCTCTAGCAAAAAGCCAGGTCTTAAGTGCGAGAGTAAAAGGCCCGAAGTCACGCATGGCTCTCATGTAGGGCGGCAAGGAATTCCACAAGGCAGGGGCAGAAATAGAGAAAGCCCATCTGCGCCTGGTCCTTTCCAAGGGCACTTCTCTACGACCCGGTATATGGAGTAAGTCACGTTGGACTGGTCGTTGCGACCTCCGATGATGGGAGAAGGAGAGGCGGTCCCTACGGTACGATGGACCCTGGTCGTAAAGAGTTTTAAAGGTCAGAACTAGCATCTTATACAGGCCACGGGACTCAGTTGGAAGCCAATGTCAATGTTGCAGCACTGGAGTTCTGTGGCATTTCACGGGCGTTCTTGTGAGTAGCCTGGCTGCCGCATTCTGAACAATACGAAGCTTTCGGGTCGTAGACATCGGAAGGCCCACATACAGGGCGTTGCAATAGTCCAGCCTAGACGTGACCGTGGCATGGATGACAGTTGCCAGAGCCTCGTCAGATAGGGAGGGTGCCAGTTGCCTCGCTTATTGTAGATGGAAAAAGGCCTGTTTGCTGGCAGCAGCGACCTGAGCTTCCATTGTCAGCTGCGAATCCAAAACGACACCCAAGCTCTTAACAGTGGTCGATGGAGATAGGGCGGCACCATTGAAGGTGGGTAATGGAGGAGTCAGACCTGTCGGGCGGCCATCCCAGAGAGTCTCAGTCTTCGCCAGGTTCACCTTCAGTCTGCTAGCACGTAGCCAGTTTGACAGAGTTTCCAGACATAGGGTGAAATTGTCTGGAATTGACGTTGCTCTAGGCGCAGAAGGAGTTGGGTATCGTCCGCATATTGGTAGCAGTCCAGGCCGAAACTCCGAGCCAAACTAGCAAGGGGTCTAACATAGATGTTGAAGAGAAGAGGAGAGAGAATTGCACCTTGGGGGACCCCACATAGGAGGGGGGATCTATCGGAGACTTGATCCATGTACTCCACGCATTGACTCCGGTTCCGGAGAAATGAGTTGAACCAATTAAGGGCCTGACCACGAACTCCGGACATGGCAAGACGGTGAATCATTAGATCGTAGTCGACAAAAATAGTTGTGTGCTGAGACACTGGAAGTAGCCCAAGAAAGGAGGAAAGCAAAAGGAAACAGGGATAAGGGGAGATATGCCCAGTTAAATGCGCAATTTCAGAGGTTAGCCAGAAGAGATAAGGAACTATTTTTAAATAAGCAATGCATGGAAGTGGAAGAAGACAACAGAATAGGAAGGACAAGAGACCTCTTCCAGAAAATTAGAAACATTGGAGGTAAATTTCAGGCAAAAATTGGTATGATAAGAAACAAAGATGGCAGGGACCTAACAGAAGCTGAAGAGATCAAGAGAAGGTGGCGAGACTATACAGAAGATCTGTATAGGAAGGATAATAATATTGAGGATAGTTTTGACGGTGTGTGAATGAATTAGAACCAGACATCCTGAGGAGTGAGGTTGAATGGGCCTTAAGAAGCATTGCTAACAACAAGGCAGCAGGAGACGACGGGATCCCAGCTGAACTGTTTAAAATCTTAAAAGATGATGCTGTCAAGGTGATGCATGCCATTTGCCAGCAAATATGGAAAACACAAGAATGGCCATCAGACTGGAAAAAATCAACTTATATCCCCATACCAAAAAAGGGAAATGCGAAAGACTGCTCAAACTTCCGTAAGTGGCCCTTATTTCTCATCATGCCAGTAAGGTAATGCTCAAGATCCTGCAAGGAAGACTCCAGCAATACATGGAGCGAGAGTTGCCAGATGTTCAAGCTGGGTTTAGAAAAGGCAGAGGAACGAGAGACCAGATTGCCAATATCCAGATGCTGGAGAATGGAGAAAGGCAGGGAGTTTCAGAAAAACATCTACTTCTGCTTCATTGACTATTCTAAAGCCTTTGACTGTGTGGATCATAATAAATTGTGGCAAGTTCTTGGTGGGATGGGCATCCCAAGCCCCCTTCCCTCTCTCCTGAGGAATCTGTGCAAGGACCAAGGAGCAACAGTAAGAACTGACCACGGAACAGGAGACTGGTTCAAGATTGGGAAAGGCGTCCGGCAAGGCTGCATCCTCTCACCCAACCTTTTTAACTTGTATGCAGAACACATCATGCGATGTGCGGGGCTGGATGAATGCAAAGCTGGGATGAAAATTGCTGGAAGAAACATTAACAACCTCAGATATGCAGATGACACCACTCTGATGGCCGAAAGCGAGGAGGAGCTGAGGAGCCTTCTAATCAAGGTGAAAGAAGAAAGCGCAAAAGCCGGGTTGCAGCTAAACGTCAAAAAAACCAAGATTATGGCAACAAGAATGATTGACAACTGGAAAATAGAGGGAGAAACCGTGGAGGCCGTGACAGACTTTGTATTTCTAGGTGCAAAGATGACTGCAGATGCAGACTGTAGCCAGGAAATCAGAAGACGCTTACTTCTTGGGAGGAGAGCAATGTCCAATCTCGATAAAATAGTAAAGAGTAGAGACATCAGACTGGCAACAAAGATCCGCCTAGTCAAAGCCATGGTATTCCCTGTAGTCACCTACGGATGTGAGAGCTGGACCTTAGGGAAGGCTGAGCGAAGGAAGAGAGATGCTTTTGAGCTGTGGTGTTGGAGGAAAGTGCTGAGAGTGCCTTGGACTGCGAGAAGATCAACCAGTCCATCCTCCAGGAAATAAAGCCCGACTGCTCATTGGAGGGAAGGAGACTAGAGACAAAGTTGAAGTACTTTGGCCACATCATGAGGAGGCAGCAAAGCCTAGAGAAGGGAATGATGCTGGGGAAAGTGGAAGGCAAAAGGAAGAGGGGCCGACCAAGGGCAAGATGGATGGATGGCATCCTTGAAGTGACTGGACTGACCTTGAAGGAGCTGGGGGTGGTAACGGCCAACAGGGAGCTCTGGCGTGGGCTGGTCCATGAGGTCACGAAGAGTCGGAGATGACTGAACGAATGAACAACAAAGCCATCCCCTGCCAGGCATTGCTGTGACCCAGTCTGTGTATATGTGTTTTGTGTGCATATGTGTATAGGTGTGTGTATATATTTGTGTATATGTGTATATATGTGTTTATGTGCATACATTGTCATGTATTTTTTATTTCTTGCCTTTTAAAGTCTCTGCTGCTGTGTTTTTCAGTGTTTTTATGAGTGGTGCTCACTCGTTGGCCTGAGAGGTGTCTTGTGTCCAAATTTGGTGTCAATTTGCCCAGTGGTTTTTGAGTTATGTTAATCCCACAAACGAACATTACATTTTTATTTATATCGATGGTACAATAAAAGGGGTCCTTTATATACAATGGCAAATTCAAGGTTTGCTTTTTGGATTTTTAAAAACTATTCGGGCTACTGAGCTTGCTGAGAGGAAGGTTGGCAGTTCGAATCTACAGGATGGGGTGAGCTCCCACTGTTAGCCCCAGCTTCTGCCAACCTAGCAGTTCGAAAACATGCAAATGCGAGTGGATCAATAAGTAGCGCCTCGGTGGGAAGGTAAACGGTGCTCCATGCAATCATGCCGGCCACATGACCTAGGAGGTGTCTCCGGACAACGCCGGCTCTTTGGCTTAGAAATGGAATGAGCACACCCCCCCCCCCCCCCCAAGAGCTGGAAGAGGAAGTCTTTACCTTTATCTGTGTTTCGCTGTTTCTAGTCATTGAGTGTTTGCCTTTGTGTTTGTGTATGCTGAAATCAGCCCTGAGTCCCCTCAGGGAGATAGGGCAGAATACAAAATAAAAACAACAACAACAACAACAACAACAACAACAACCCTTCCATCGGGTGCCGCCTTGTTGTGTGATTGGCACACTGGGTGCAGTGCCTAAAGACCTTGGCCTGCACTTAAACACAATCAGTGCTGACAAAATTACCATCTGCCAGCTGCAAAAGGCCACCTTACTGGGATCTGCACACATTATTTGCCAATACATCACACAGTCCTAGACACTTGGGAAGTGTTCGACGTGTGATTCAATACAATAGCCAGCAGAGTGATCATGTTTGCGAGGACTTATCTTCTTGTGTTTCAAATAATAATAATAACTGTTGTTGTTGTTGTTGTTGTTGTTAAAACCATGAATGATGGAATTCATGGATATAGAATATGCGGATATGGAGAACTGATTGTATTACCAACATACCTAATGAACTTGGATTGGTCAGGATCATAGAGGCTCATAAGCAGCTCCGCATCCTCACCGATATTGCAGACGAAATTCTTGAAGTTGACATACAGGCTGTACGTGTGAGTAGTGTTGAAGATAGACTGTCCCCGCAGGTCTACGTTCTGCTGAAGAGACTGATTGGAACAAAAAGGCAGAATGAGAAAGTGAGTGTTAGAAGAGTGCCAGAACTAAAGTGTCTTTTAAAAAATACATGCTGGAGCACTGGTCCCCAACCTTTTTTTGACCAGGGACCACCTTGACCAAGGACCATTTGGACCAGGGACCACCTTGACTAGGGACCACATGGACCAGGGACCACTTTGACCATGGACCACCTTGACCAGGGACCACCTTGACTATGGACCACATGGACCAGGGACCACCTTGACCAGGGACCATCTTGACAAGGGACCACTTGGACTAGGGACCACTTTGACCAAGGACCACCTGACCAGGGACCACGTGGACCAGGGACCACTGGACCAGGGACCACCTTGACCAGAGACCACTTGGACCAGGGACCACTTGGACCAGGGACCACTTGACCAGGGAACACTTGGACTAGGGACCACTTGGACCAAGGACCACCTGACCAGGGACCACTTGGACCAGGGACCACTTGGACCAAGGACCACCTGACCAGGGGCCACTTGGACCAGGGACCACTTGGACTAGGGACCACCTTGACCAGGGACCACCTTGACTATGGACCACATGGACCAGGGACCACCTTGACCAGGGACCACTTGGACCAGGGACCACCTTGACCAGGGACCACTTGGACCAGGGACCACTTGGACCAGGGACCACTTTGACCAAGGACCACCTGACCAGGGACCACTTGCACCAGGGACCACTTGGACTAGAGACCACCTTGACCAGGGACCACCTTGACTATGGACCACATGGACCAGGGACCACTTTGACCAGGGACCACCTTGACCAGGGACCACCTTGACAAGGGACCACTTGGACCAGGGACTACTTGGACCAAGGACCACCTGACCAGGGGCCACTTGGACCAGGGACCACTTGACCAGAGACCACTTTGACCAGAGACCACTTGGACTAGGGACCACTTGGACCGGGGACCACTTGGACCAAGGACCACCTGACCAGGGGCCACTTGGACCAAGGACCACCTGACCAGGGACCACTTGGACCAGAGACCACTTTGACCAGGGACCACTTTGACCAGGGACCACCTTGACCAGGGACCACTTGGACCTGGGACCACTTGGACCAGGGACCAATTTGACCAGGGACTACTTGACTAGGGCCCATTCTCCAACATTAGTACCAAAAGGGTTACAAGTCAGTTTTTGGTCAACTTTAAATTCAGTTTGGAGTGCATTGGATAGACCACATCAGCTCTAGTTTCTGATACAGAACATATGCCATGATCAGCAACAGGGAAGGAGTGGCAGGTTGTGCGAAAGGAGCGGAAATAAAATAAATAAAATAAAATAAAGAGGACAGAGGCTCTTGGACCAGATTTTTGTCCTTGTGGCCCAGTGGTGGTCCATGGCCCACGGGTTATGAATCACTGAGCTAGAGGATGCTTTCAAGAGCTATCCTAATGCTCTGTTTTTCTTGGAAAGGGATTTGATTCCCTTCTGATTCGAGAGGTGTGTGTATGGATAATTTGCAAAACAAGATGATCCAGAGAGTGTTATCCATTTCTAATTTTAACAGAAACTATTTCCAAGAGGTTGTACTATATAATAAGAGGTGTACCTTTTCTTCTTGGATCCTTTCCTCGATTCTTTTGGAGGCTGTCTCGTGTGCCCTAAAGAGCGCTATCGTGCTGGTGGCATCCGGATCCAGAATGTTCCCGTTATCATCTCTCACTACCAAATCCAACCCCAATATCCTGGAAAGCAATCAAGACAAAAATAGGAGGATTAGCATGTTAGAGCTCGCACCAAGAATTTGGACACTACACCCCTAACAGACCAACAAGTGACCATCACTCATAAATCCCTCCCCCCCCCAAAAAAAAAACAGCAGAAAGGACTTAAAAACCCAAAAAATCTAAATGATGATACAGCGCATGCATGAAAATGACAGCTGCCAGCATCCTCTAGACCAGGGGTCCTCAAACTAAGGCCTGAGGGCCAGATACAGCCCTCCAAGGTCATTTACCCGGCCCTCACTCAGGGTCAACCGAAGTCTGAAATGACTTGAAAACACAAAACAACAACAACAACAACAATATTCCTATCTCATCAGTCAAAAGCAACCCCACACTTCCTACTGAAATATTAATAAGTTTATCTTTGTTAAAATTGTTCTTCATTTTAATTAATGTATTGTTTTAAACTTTTTTTGCACTACAAATAAGATATGTGCAGTGTGCATAACCCTGCTATACGCCTGCGAAACGTGGACTGTCTACAGGCGTCACATGCAACTCCTGGAACGATTCCATCAGCGCTGCCTCCGGAAAATCCTGTAAATCTCTTGGGAAGACAGGCGGACAAACGTCGGCATGCTGGAAGAAGCAAAGACCACCAGCATCGAAGCGATGCTCTTCCACCATCAACTCCGCTGGACTGGCCACGTTGTCCGGATGCCCGACCACCATCTCCCAAAGCAGCTGCTCTACTCTGAACTCAAGAATGGAAAACGGAACGTTGGTGGGCAGGAAAAGAGATTTAAAGACGGGCTCAAAGCCAACCTAAAAAACTCTGGCATAGACACTGAGAACTGGGAAGCCCTGGCCCTTGAGCGCTCCAGCTGGAGTTGCTACTTCATAACTGCAATTGTGCTACTGTTATGAATTGTAATGTAAATATCCAATATTCAGGATGTATTTCCATTCACTGGACCAAATTTGGCACAAATACCCAATGTGCCCAAATTTGCATACTGGTGGGGTTGCGGGGGAAGATTGATTTTGTCATTTGGGAGTTGCTAGGGCTGGGCGGTTTCGTTCGTTAATTTCGTAATTCGTTAATAATTCGTTATTTTTTGGGTAAACGAAGCGATAACAAACCATCCAGGAGCAGCTAAATAACGAAACGAATTTTTAAAGCTATTTCGTAATTGTTTTGTTATTGTTTCGTTATTATTTCCGTATGTGCCTGGTGCAAGTTTTATAGTTGTTTCCCTCCCCTCTCCCTGGTTGCAAGCGGTCGGCATTTACCCCACTTCCGGGTCCCTGGCCTCGGCTTAAGTGGATCAAATTCTCCTCTCCTCCTGTCGTCACCTCACCTCGTTCCTCACTCTGGCCTGCGTGCATTGGGCAAAGAGACACAGCAGTGCAGCACTCAGAGACCTGCCTGTTGCCTGCCTAACCTCTTTCCTTCTCCAGGTTAAAACTATTATATTAATTATATTTATTATTATTATTATTATTATTATTATTATTATTATTAAGAATGGATGGCCATCTTTCAGTACTGCTTTGACTGTCCCTTACATTCACGAAGGCAGAAAGTGGTTTGTTATTATTATTATTATTATTATTATTATTATTATTGAGAAGAAGCATTGTCAAACCAGAGTAGAGATCTCACCCACCCTCCTCTCTCTCTCCTTCCCCCCCTTTCCTTCTCCAGGTTAAAACTATTATATTAATTATATTTATTATTATTATTATTATTATTATTATTATTAAGAATGGATGGCCATCTTTCAGTACTGCTTTGACTGTCCCTTACATTCACGAAGGCAGAAAGTGGTTTGTTATTATTATTATTATTATTATTATTATTATTATTGAGAAGAAGCATTGTCAAACCAGAGTAGAGATCTCACCCACCCTCCTCTCTCTCTCCTTCCCCCCCCTTCCTTCTCCAGGTTATTATATTTATTATTATATTTATTATTATTATTATTATTATTATTATTATTATTAAGAATGGATGGCCATTTTTCAGTACTGCTTTGACTGTCCCTTACATTCACGAAGGCAGAAAGTGGTTTGTTTCACCCCTCCCTCTCTCTCTTTCCCCCCTCTTTCCTTCTCCGAGGTTAAAACTATTATTTAAAACTATTATTTTCACGTTGCGCAACCGCGTCCGCCATTTTAACGAATTGATTCGTTAATATTAACGAAATTTCGTAAATATCAAACTTTTTAAAAGGAAAATTTTGTAATTATTTTAAATATCGAAACAAAAAAAACCCCCAAATACAAATCGATTTTAGAAACAAATTTTTCCGTTGTTACCCAGGCCTAGGAGTTGCAGTTGATGGGATTTATAGTTCACCTCCAATCAAAGAGCATTCTGAACTCCACCAGCAATGGAATTGAACCAAACTTGGCACACAGAACTCCCACAACCAACAGAAAATACTGGAGAGGTTTGGTAGGCATTTGAGTTTTGGAGTTGTAGTTCACTTACATCAAGACAGCACTGTGGACTCAAACAACGATGGATCTGAACCAAACTTGGCATGAATATTCAATATGCCCAAATGTGAACACTGCTAGAATTTGAGGCAAATACACCTTGACATTTGGGAGTTGTAGTTGCTGGGATTTATAGTTCACCTATCAAAGAATATTCTGAACCCCACCAATGATAGAATTGGGCCAAACTTCCCACACAGACCCCCATAATCAACAGAAAGTACTGTGTTTTCTGGTGGTCTTTGGCGACCCCTCTGACACCCCCTTATGACCCCCCTGGGGTCCCGACTCCCAGGTTGAGAAACACTGAAATAAAAGCTTGCCTTCCTGTCATTACAACTAAGTGTCTTCCTCAAAAGTTTGCACGAACAGGAAGGTCTTTAGCTGCTTTTGAAAAGATGTCAGGGAAGGGGCGGTTTCAACCTCCTTGGGGAGGAAGTTCCAAAGAGTTGGGAGCAGCCACCGAGAAGGCCCTCTCTCTCATCACTGCCAGATGCATTTGAGATGGTGACGGCAACAAGAGGAGGGCCTCGCTAGAAGATCTTAACGTTCGGACAGGTTGGTATGAGGAGATACCAATCTGCCCGAACGTTGATGGGAAGCTTCCCACCAGAGTGGAAATCGTTTATCGGACAGATGGCAAGCTGTTTAACCTTAGCAGACTGGAAGCCAAAACCAAGGTTACAACAAAATCTATTATAGAACTCCAGTATGCTAATGACAATGTCATCTGTGCGTATTCAGAAGAAGACCTACAAGCCACTGTAAACACCTTCGAGGAAGCATACGAGAAGCTCGGCCTGTCATTGTACATCGAGAAAACCAAAGTGCTGTTCCAGCAGTCACCAGCCAACCCCTCTCCAATGCCAGAAATATAACTTAATGGTGTAACATTAGAAAATGTTGACCATTTCCGCTCCCTTGGCAGCCACCTCTCCACCAAAGTCAACATCGACGCTGAAATACAACACTGCCTGAGCTCTGCGAGTGCAGCTTTTTTCTGAATGAAGCAGAGAGTGTTTGAGGACCGGGACATCCGTAGGGATACCAAGGTGCTTGCTTATAAAGCTATTGTCCTCCCAACCCTGCTACACGCCTGCAAGACGTGGACTGTCTACAGACGTCACATGCACCTCCTGGAACGATTCCATCAGCACTGCCTCCAGAAAATCCTGCAAATCTCTGGGGAAGACAGGTGGACAAACGTCAGCATGCTGGAAGAAGCAAAGACCACCAGCATTGAAGACATGGTCCTCCGCCATCAACTCTGCTGGACTGGCCACGTTGTCTGGATGCCTGACCACCATCTCCCAAAGCTCTACACCGAACTCAAGAAAATGGAATGTTGGTGGACAAGAAAAGAGATTTAAAGATGGGCTCACCAGCCAACTTCTATGCAACCTCTGGCATAGACGCTGAGAACTGGGAAGCCCTGGCCCTTGAGCGCTCCAGCTGGAGGTCAGCTGTGACCAGCAGTGCTGCAGAATTTGAAGAGGCACAAATGGTGGGTGAGAGAGAGAAGAGGAAGGTGCGTCAAGCCAACCCCGACCGAGACCGCCTTCCACCTGGAAACCAATGCCCTCACTGAGGGAGAAGATGCAGATCAAGAATAGGGCTCCACAGTCACCTACGGACCCACCACCAGAACACTGATCCTGGAAGTCTATCCTACTCGGCCAACAAGGGATCGCCTAAGTAAGTAAGTAAATGGGGAGATGCGGTCAGACAGGTAAGTAGGCTACAGTTATCTCTACTTCTGATCACCACAAAACTATGCGGAAGGAAGATCTTCCCAGAAAGGAACAACAACAACTGACATTGTAGTGTAGCTAGAATTAATGAGGCTTAAAGCCTAACCACAAAACTGCCAGTTACAGTTCCTGACACTGTGTGTGCACTTATTCAAATTTATGACATTTCCCGAAGCAGGTTTAACATTAATTTTTCAGCTTCTGCTTTCAAATGTCTCCTTCATTAGCTTATCTGTCCAGGAAGTGATGTGACAGGCAGTCAATCTGTGAGCCATGGGGGGAACCCACAGAGCCCAACATTTTCTTTGGCAGTCGGAGAGCCATTGTGCCAATGCCTGCCTTGCATTTGAGTCTCAAGTGAGATTTAAAGTGCTTCTTTGGACTAAAATTGCACCAAACACATATGAAGCTGGGCTCTCCCCACTCTTTGGAAAAACTTTGTAAGTCCCGCAGCCTTAAGAAAGCGCAGAGAAATCTTGGAGAACCATCTCCCCTGCATATACTTTTTTTTAAAAAAAATATTGAAGGTTAAGCTTAAAATAAAAAGTACTGTATTTCTTTATTTCTTTACATTATTTACATCCCGCCCATATCAGCCCGCAGGCGACTCAGGGCGGTCTACATATCGGCACAATTCGATGCCATCAGTACAATCAGCAAAAACAATTAAGTGCATTTAGACAAAAAAAAAGACAGTGCAATAACAATTTAAAAAGAGCTATATCCTCTCGTTCCAATCCTCGTCGGTTTCATCGTCTTGGC